CAGATTCAGTTTTGCATTTGAGTGATAAACACGCTGTTTGATAGGACTTACACGAACACATCTGTTATAAAACAACTGCATGAATACTCCAATTATATTACCTAAGTGTTCAATAAATAGAGAGATAATGGGTGTGGATTTTCACCATATAATTTTTGTCCACAGTTTACTGATTTACTTATTTTACTTTCCTTTTGTTTCGTAATGATTAAGTTCTTTTTATCTCTTTTGTTTGCCTACCTTTCTAGAACCTACCCTTCTATGGACTTGCTCAGTATTTGCTCAGAGTAATTACAGCTCAGAACTTCTTATACGCAAATGTATTACATCATTGGCCTAATCCACTTATTCATACTAGAGTCTGAAGCTTCTCATCAATATCAGAGAGATGGCGGTCTCTCCATCCCCCATAAAGATTTACATCCTCAAAAACCTGATAGAGGGTTCTTATGACTAGATACCAATGAGCTTGAGTTTGTTGTTTCTGCCAGTATCCATAGTCATAAAGAGTACTAGAATCCCTAGGTTCTTTTTGGGGGGGTTGGTTTTCTTTTTTAATTGTGGGTAGTTGTGACACTCCCCACCCCCATGCTAACTCTTAATGTTGTTATATGCCTGTAAATCAGCTGCCCTGTGTACAGCAGAATAAAACCTTGCCCAATTTGTGCCATTCTCTGTCTCTGCTGTGCTTTAAAACCCATTGTTGCAGTAACTTGTATAGAATTCATCATGTAGAGAATCTCTTCCATTTTTCTAAGCATGGTGTTGATTTCCCGGGATTACGCCTTCCTTATAACAAGTATGTGGGATAGCATCTAACTCCCTTGTTTCTAAGAAGTAACTTGGCTACATTTCTTCTAAGATGCATTTATTTTTTCCTTTTGGTAGTCCATAATTATTTTGAATATTCTCAGCCTATACCGTGATTCAAAGACATCAAAATTTCTTTGGTTTTCCTTAATCATTGTCCATATTATACATGCATCTGTCTGGGCACTCTTAATAGGGAGGTGTGTCCCAAAGACTGCACTCTCTTGTTTGGAATACATCAATGGCTCCCTGGTGAAAGGGGGTCATTCTCTTCTTAGGTGATTTATAGCCTGTGAAAACTCCCTTCTGTGTCATCTATGACTCGGTTCTGACTAGGTGGCAGTTATTACCTAACTTAGATACTGCTGACTCATTAAAATGGTATCCTTGCCATTCACACTTTAAAGAGGTTCTTGATAGCAGCTTTTCCCAATGCAATATATTATTTGATTTCTTGACTATTGCTTCCATAAGTATTGATTGTGGATACAAGTAAAACAAAATCTTTGACAATTTCAGTCTTTTCTCTCTTTACCCTGCTATTTCCTTTTGATTGATTTGCAAAGATTTCTGTTCCCTTTATGTTTATGTGTAATTCATACTGGCTCAAAATAGCAGGCATAAATTCTGAATCTTTAATACTAGGCTCTAAGAACTTCCATGAAACTTGAGGTTGGTTTTATAAATATTTGTAAAATCTATTTTGAAATTGATGTTCTGAGTGCTGTCAAGTCGATTCCAACTCTGAGTAACCCTGTGCCCCATAGGACTTTCTAGGCTGTAATCTTTATGTGTACTGATCACCAAGTCTTTCTCCCATAAAACACAGGTATGTACCAACAACCAGCCTTCTATTTTAAAGTTGTTGCTTGCTCTTGACTCCACCAGGGTTCTCTTAGTAAAGACATGAATTTATGAAGACTATTTTATTTCAATATGTTAATGTTTTACCTTAATGTGAGGGTTTTTTTCAAGTTTCAATAATTTTTTTTCTGTGATCACTATCATGTACAAATGCAGTTTATACCATTTTTCTTTGTTCTGCTTCCCACCATTTAATACAGACTTAGTTTAGATCTTAATATTTTACTTCTTATTAAGTGCTTTTGATTGTTCTGGCTCCTAGGGTTTTTCCTCACTACTCAATTAATTCTACAAAATGATACTTGAATAATCATCTGAATGTACTGTTCTAAGGCTGATCCTGCGTTGCTGAAAGGCTGCCAGTATCTTTTGTACCCAAGGCTATGTTGCTGTTGTTGTTATGTGCTGTTAAGTATAAGTCATAGCAACCCTATAAATGACAGACTGAACCTTACCCTAACCTCTGCCATCTTCACGATCTCTGACATGATCAAGTGCATTGTTAGACTCACTCCGATTTTTTCCCTTGCAGAGAGGACTCCACAGACTTTTATTTTCATTTCAAAAGTCCCACTATTGACTGTAACTTTGACCAAGTTGCTAACACACACGTACCTAACTTGTTTCTACTGTCCTGATTCCGACCTGACTGTCAAGGGATACATCTTTTTTTGGGGAAAAATTATTTCTGACTCACTCTAAGTTCATGCACTCAACCACTCATCTCTTTTGGAGCAATTCTCTGAAGTTTTTATGAGATTAAAAATTACAATGGCAGAAAGCTCAAAGAGCTGCTGGTGGATTTAAACCTATGGCGATACACAGACTTTGAAATAGCACTGGAAGCTGCTATAGAATATGAAGCAAAAGCTTCCTTCTTATTCTACAGACGTCCTTTATCACATTTCCCTGCCCCCCCCTTTTAAATTCTCTCTCTTTTTATGAGTCTTAACATTAGAGTGTATCAAATGTTAGACTGCATACCGAAAAGTCAGCAGTTTGAGTCTAGGAGAAAGGTGGTGAACTGTCAGCTTCTGTGACAATTCATAGCCCTAGGTTCTTGGAAACCCCATGGGGGTGTGCTGAGATAGAAATGAGTCAACAGCAATAGTTATCTCTGGGACCAATAATACCAATTTTACTTTTGTAGCATGTTTTGGAAGCAGGAGTGACATCCACTTCTGAAATAGCTTGCCTCCGGAAATGATGAACTTGGAGAAACGATGAAAGTTATACATGTGTTCAGGTCTTTTGTTCATAGGGTCACTTTGAGTCATCTACGACGCGACAGCACTTAACAACAGCATTTTAGACTATTGTGTTTAATTCTTCTGATTAAATTGAAAACAGAGAAGCAGGATCACTTGGCATATTGAACAGCATTTGGAACATCAGTAAGCTATTAGTTTTGGTTTGCTTCTTTTTACTTGAGATCAGACATTTCTCTGTATTCCCACAGAACTAAGTATAATGTTATATGCAATTGATAAATACACATATAGACATTTATATTGCTTATCAAGCTTAAAACAACATTTTGTTCTGTTTAAAGTCCTTGTGCCTGTTTCTTGAGGTTTCTCCTGGGCCAGCTTACTGATCAAATTGGGAAATCTGTCATTTTCACTTTTAGGATAGAACAGTTCTTTGAAATTTGTTGCAAGCTAATTAGTAGGGGGTATATCTCTTAGATGTGTCCGTGCTTTCTTGAACTCCATATCTAGATAGTGTCTAAATTAATTTTTAGACCTCTGAAGTGGCACTGTATTTATGATACTGAAATTCTTGTCAGCATGTCAATTTCTAGTATCAGATAGTCTGAGCTCTTCTATTTACCGTTTAAATACAAAACACCAACTGCCTAAAATACTTATTTCTTTTCAAGTGAAAGGCAATGTTAATAACAGACTTCTTATTTTGCAGTTATTCAAAGTCCTTAAAATAGGAAAATATTAAGTAATACATTAATAAACTTGATGATGTATTATAGTTAATGAATGTTTATGTTCTGATCATTACTCAATCTGCTGTGTTGTAAATGGTTAACATATTCAGCTGCTTATTGAAACATTGAAGGTTCAAATTCACCCAGAGTGCTTAAGAAGAAAAAATTGATCATCTGCTTTCAAAAAAAAATCAGCCATTGAAAACCCAGTGGAGCATAATTCTATTCTTGTACATATAAGTTAATGATAGCTCGATAGCTGCTTGTTTCTTCTTAGTTACTACTTATTTAATAATTTATCAAATGTGAAGTGAAGGCTAAAGCTTTTAACTAAAACAAGCTAAAGAGCTATTTGGCTGTAATTGTCCAACCCTTGAAGCAGAAGAGGATAATTCACAATGATGAGACATGGTTACATTGCCCAAAGAGATTTATTTGTCAAAATTAGGTTCAGTTTAGTTTAGCAAACATTAACTGGTGGTTCAGCTCATCACAGAACCAAGGTAATACAAAAAGAAGTGGATACACTCCCTGCCTTCTGGAATCTTTAAGTCTAATCAAGAGCATTAACCCTAAAACAAGGCTGGTTTAATACAGAAAAATAAATAGTAAATGATAACAGTAAAATGTAATAACTACCATTCTTTCTTGAAAAAATAAATCTTTAGGACAACTCGATCAAGGAGCTACTAGTAACATTTTAGATGAGGAAATTGTAGACCCTAAATAACATGTTCTGAGGTGATAACTGGCAGCTGTCACTGTATTTCACTACTTATGTATAAGTAGTGCTCATGTAGTTAGCCATTTCTGTCGTATGCTGCCATGAATTGTCCTCTCAACCAACACTTCAGTAGTTTGAGACATCCAAAAGCAAGCCCGTTGTTAATTTAGAACCTGGAAATATTTATCATTTTCATTTTAGCTTATGAAGAGAAGTACAGTGCCTGAAAAAATAAAAAAAAAGCCAAACCTCTCTTAGGTGATTATAAATAACAAAACAGGTGTGAAAATTTATGATGAAAATCATATTGTAAAGCTAGTTCATGTTGGCCAACTCAGTCCAACTTAATTATCATCAAGTTGAACCTTACTTATAACTGACCATCCAGCTTATATTCAGAGGTTACAAATCACATGGGAGGTGATTGCCTATCTATGTCTTATGTGACAGCCGATGGATTCGAACCACCTGCCTTTTGGTTGGCAGTGCAACTCTTTTACCCCCTCAGCCACCAGATCTCAATACATGGTGAGGCAACATTATTTCTTTTCAGAAGTAGGAAAATATTTTATTGCAGCAATGAAAATAATATAAATGAAATGTACAAAATATAGTGTAAATGTGGTTGGGAATGAGCTTTAATCTTTTTATCTATTTTAGGACTTTCTGGGACAAGTGTTTTGTACATTGGGGGAGATTGTTGGTTCACAGGGAAGTCACCTGGAAAAGCCGATAGTGTAAGTATTTTTCAATTTGGACAATGAAATGTTAACTCATTGGTCCATTTCTATTTTGGTGATTTAAACATGTGTTTAAGACAAAAGTGAATTTTAAAATCGTAATTGATTATTTTCTTTCTCCAAAAAAATTTTGACATGCTTATAAAGTATAATGAATGTTTCATTTGTTACATTAAAAATATTCCCACATTAAATAAGCAGATGTAGATAAGAAAATGAGGTGTCCCCCCCTCAAAAATCTAGTCATTCTTAAATTTAGTATTGTTTGGAAAAAAGTTCTTTTTTTTTTTTTGGTGACCAGGACTCTAGAATAGCTAGCACTGACATTTATACCATGTATTTAATAAATACAGTATTAATGACTGAATAGTTTTGAAACAAAATTGATTGGTAGAAAGGCAACTGCTAAATATTGTAACATTTTCTTTGAGTTCTGTAATCTTATTTCATTTTAGATCATTTTTTATAGAAGAATCTTATTTCCTCCAGTTCCAAATAAGGGAGAAAATAAACTCAAGATATTTTTCTTATACCTTTCTTTCACCGTTCATCTTGCTGATCTCATTCATCTTTTTTACTTGGAGTCACTTAATGGTTTATAGAATCATAAGATTTAAGATTATTAAGACAAGAGAAAAATTAACTATAGTCCAGAATGGTTTGGAAAATTCTGAATTCTCTTTACCAATCTTTTAAGAATCTGTATACAATAAAAATAAAACTAGCTAAATCTGTTCACCTCTGATACCAAATATTTGAGATGGCCAAGCCATCTTTCTCACATTTCCTGTCTAAAATTGGATTTTCCATTTGGTGTATCTGATGCCATATGCTTAGAAATTCTCAAGCAATAAATATAAGAATCCTGAATGCTTTCATTTAGCTTGGTTTTCTTAGGAAATTGTTATTGGATATTGGCATGAAAACTTTTGTCTATCAGCTTCTGTTTGGGGAAAGAATGTGTGTTTTATTTTCACAGAACTTTAGTATTTGAGCATAAATACATATTTGAGTATATTTATGCTCACTTTAACATGTAAGTAATAAGTGATATGTGCTACCGGGTGGGTGAACTTTGAAAATTGTGATGCTAATAAGTAAGATGAGCAAGCAACAAAAGGACAAATATTACATGATCTCACTCCTGTAGACTGTTTCGAATAAGCAGACTCATTGAGGCAGAAAATAAAAGTTTCAAGGTCTGGGAGGAAGGGGATAGGCATTTGGTACTTTAATGATTACAGAGTTTTGTTGGAGAAAATGATAAAGCTGTGAAGATAGAAGATTGAGAATTTTGGATTCAATTAATACCATTTAAATTTTAAACTTAGAAACTGTTAAGATGGCTAGTTTTATGTTACAAATATTTACATAAAATAAAACATATTAATGTATTGGGCAAGTCTGCTGTCAGGAATTTCTTCAAATTACTGAGGGGTAATGATGTCAGTTTTGAAGACTAAGGTGTACCTGATTCAGGCTATGGTCTTTTTAGTCATTTGCTATGCATCAGAGAGGTGGACAATGACTATTGATGACAGAAAAGAATTGATTCCTTTGACATGTGGTGTTGGAGAAGAGCACTGAATATCCATGGACTTCTTGGAGAAGGTGCAACCAAAGTGCTCCTTGAAGGCAAAGATGCTATAACCTCATATCACGTATTTTGGACATGTTGCCAGGAGATGTTTTGGTTGGAAAGAGACTTTCCTTGGAATGTCATGCCTGGAAAAGTAAGAATATCAGCAAAAGAGAAGAAGACCCTCGATGTATTAATTGACATAGTGACTGCAGGAATGGGTTTAAAGTGTGTCTAAGATGATAAAGATGGCACAGAGTAAGGCAGGGTTCGGATCTAGTGTTCATAGTGTCGCCGTGAGCTGTATTCAACTGGGTGGCACCTACGAACAACAAAAATAACCAAATAAACATGATAGAAAAAGTTCAAAAAGTTTAGCCAGTTAAAATGCTGTTGAATGGGATTTAATGAATGAGCTAGTTGGGAACAAAAAGACTTTGGAAAGTAAAGCCATGGAAGAGTCTAAGGACATCAGCACCTGGGGATGAGTTACTTGGAAGAGAATAATCACATTTTTGTATAATTATCAAGCTTGGAAGGATAAAATATTGTGTAATCTGTGTACTTACCTTCACATGATGCATGCATTTTTCCATACCTTTCCTCAATATTCGGGAGATTGGGGAGATGATTAGATTCCTTTCTCCATCTCTAATAGGCTCTGAAATCCATGAGACCATTGAGAATTTTAGGTACACGCTCTCTTTTTTTCCACTACAGAACAATCTCACTGATTTCACATGCA